CGTAAGTTGGGAATCAGCCTGGTGGCTACATGCTGCACCCGCTCAAGCTTCTCCACCTCGCCCAGCGTGATGGGACAATATGCGGGAGTGCCGTACTCTAGCATTGGTCGTATGATCGAGACGAAGAGGCGAGTGGCAATCTCTTCGGACCAAGTGCTGAAGCTGCGCTTGAGCGCCCAAAGCATCCGAAGGCTGTTTTGGTACAGCCTATTCGTGTTGTCAATGGACTTTAGGTCGCAGCGTGAGAGCACACCGAGGTCGCGCACGAAAGACGCGGGATGCAGCGGTTGACCAGCCACTGTGTAGGTTCGGCTGTGCTCGCATTTACCCGACCTCATGAATTGCGACTTCGTCTGATTTGTAGTTGGAATTAGAAAAGGAAATTCATGTTCCGTATACCATTTTCGCTGTTCGAAGAAAATTGCCACCAGCAAATCCTAACGCAGTGTCCGTAACTTTGTACTGACGAATGTTTGACTTCTTTCACTTCAGTAAAATACCTGAAAGTGACACTGAGCAGTTGGCTTACGCGGTTCGTTCAATGAAGGGAATATTCCTTGGAATTAGAAGATTCTCATTCCATGTTACACATTCTGATCTTGCTTCTTATAACTGCATGTGTGTTACCCCGAATGGACCTATTGCTCTCCTGTGATCTATCCTGGCCTGAGTAAGAGCCTCACAGTAATTGCCAGATCATTGGAACATCTATCCCGGTGTAGTGTAATTTTTAAGCCTGGAACTTGTTAACATCACTGCAGCCAGTCATGTCAAATCATATAAGCCTGCGTCCAAAATACTCATCGATTACCTCCACAGAGCGTTGTGCGAATGCGCAACAGGCTCCTCCTCGAGCAGGCATAACTACAATACTATACACGCCCGCACAAGGGTACATCAGTAATCCCTTAGATGTCACATTTTCTAAACAATAAAAATTCCATCATTCGAGAAGTGGCTAATATACTAGTCCAGTGAGATTTGTGCTATCGTATTTTTAACAATTGTTGTTTTATATTTATCCATCCCAGGTACTATTCGTGTTTCTTACGTGTGTTACAGCTGAATATGCACCCTATATGAGTGCATAAAGCACATTATTGACTGACTTGTCTTGAAGTAGCGTCCTCTGTGATGTGGCCACCAAACATTGCACAGCTAGTAAGGTAAGTAAACCGATTCATCACTCTCAGTGGCTGTACGGTGCTAACTAAAACCGGCCATCGCAGTGAGGCTGGACCTTACCGTGGCGCGATAGTTTGCGGGCCTCAGCGATCTGTTGAGCAATGCTGGGTGGTGCTTTGTTTGCACCTTCAGAGCCACTCATACCAGATTGGTCAATGCTTAGAGGCCAAACAAACAGTCTCTTAGTCCTCCAGGTTAGGTGTGGGAATGAGGCGGCTACTTATTTCTAAAAACGGACTCCTTGTAGTCCACCGCCAAACCCGCTGCCTTGCGGTCAGGATTTTTAATCAAAGGTCTTGGTAGAAAACTCTAATCGTTCTCTTGTCTACGCCTGGGCAACCTAACAGTATCCCGCCCACGCAATACTATGCATCTTTTATCTAAATATTTCCTGTTGTCCTGACCACCGCAGAGGATAATCAGCGGTGCCCTATCTACCGTCTACAAGACTCAAGCTCTGTCCTCACTCTGGTGACACCAGCAGTGCTTTCTCATTGCGCCTATCCGGACACGATGTAGCTTCGAGCACCAACCAAGCCGGTGTTGGTATTGCCCTGTGTCTCTGGGCTGAAGCTACTCTGGTTGATTGGATCCCAATCAGTAGCCGGATGTGTGCGGTCCAACTGGTTGGCTCGTTCAAAACTTCAAAGTCGCGTGGGTTAAATAGGTGTCTGTTTATCACCGCTACCTATACCACCAACAAACTGTAGCGATGATTCGGTAAAAGCCGACTTCTATCATCCACTGAACGAGGTCTTTCGCAAAAGAAGAAGCAAATTGCAGTGCTGGCTGGGAATCCGAACGCTCAAGCTGGGAAATTGTCGGCTGATGAGCTGCATCTGGGAGGTCAACACAGTGCACGTCCCCGTAATAATAACCGTGAGCGGTTACTTCATTTGTGTCAAGAGGCTCGCTTAGCTCTTGCGAGCACTAACTTCCGACACAGCACCCGCAGGAGGGAGACTTTGCGCCCACCAGCCTCGAAGTAATCATGGATGCAAATCGATCACACTGCGATCGGTTATCGCTGGAATGGCTGCGTCCAAAACTGTCGGTCCATTTGGAACACGTGTGAACACTGACCATGCACCTTTACGGGCTGACTGCGGGTGCGATTTGGTGGTCGCCCTCGACCACCCTGTGAGCACGTAGACACCAGCCAAGTGGCGAAGCCAGCTGTTCTGAATGTGTATCGAAGTACGCTAGCGTTCGCGTTGAGCAAGCCCTCACTGAATACAGGTCACTGGTTGCATGTTCACCCAACCTTACTAAAAGCAGGTAAATTGTTATGTGGTAAATTCACTAGCTAAAACAGTTATCGGGTCTCTTCGAAGTCTCTGGATTTTATCGATGCTCGCCGGCACATTCCGGCTGGAAACGAACACAATGAGACTCGCAAAGACATTAGGACAAACCTCCATGCTAGCCTGAAGAGAGACCGCGAAACCTGGTTGTTTACACGTGCGTCAGAGATGGAAGTGGTCGCTACCATCCATCGGAAGTTGTTCCGTCTGATATGGGAAACAGGCAGCAGGAGATCTGGCGGTAGTGAAACTATATGAGACGAGGGTGGACGACCTATCCACAACTTGTCAAAACGCTTGCAACGTTGGGCTGAGCATTTTGAAAAGCAATTTAATGGACTAGAATTGTTGGATCCTACACCGGCCAGTGGTCGCCCTGCTCCCTGGACTGTTCCTTTGGATCCGCCCTATCGCTCAGAAGTCGAATGTGGGACTGGACTGTTGAAGTTAAATAAAGCTGCGGGACCAGATGACGTTCATCCAACCCTCTTCAAATTCAGAGGACCTGCTCTTGATGATGATTTACACGGATTGCTAGTGAAACTATGGGGGTAGGAAACTGCCCCAACCGACAGGAGCCGCTCCGTTATTGTCCCGATCTTCAAATGAGGCTCGCGATCGGAATGTGGCAACCATAGAGAAATCAGTCTGATCTCCATCGCTTCAAAATCACTTGCTTTTGTAGTTCTTCACAGACTGACTGGCGCTCGTGAAAGCCAGACTCGTGATGAGAAAGCCGGGTTTCGTCGTGGTCGAGGATGCATTCATCACATATTCACAGTACGTCAGTTGTTAGAGCACCGTCACATATATCGGTGGCCTACGCTCGTCATGTTCATCGAGATCAAAGATGCCTTCGATACAGTGGATCGACGTGCCCTTTGGGACTGCCTGCTGAAGGTGTGCTAGGGAAGTAGGCAGATAATATGCGAGCGCCATACGCACGTAGCTCGCGCAGAGTGAGGGCTTATGGCCAGCTGTTCCCGCCCTTCGATATCTCCAGCGGTATAAGAAAAGAATGCCCGCTGTCACCTTTCCTCTTCAAGTTCGCTATTGACTAAGTCATGGAAATCGCGTTCACAGGACACGACTTAGAAGATGTGGATCTGCTCCCAGGTGAACGACTTCTTGACTTGGAGTATACTGATGATATTCCCCTCATCCGTGATAGCTCCGAAACGTACTAAGCGGCACTGGACAGAGTAGCACTGGCTTTCACCTGTTTTGCGATATGCTTTGCACCCTCAAAGTGCAAAGCTTTACTTCAAGATTGGCCTTGACCGCGTCCTACGCTGACGCTTGGTGGGGAGCAGCTAGAGGTTGTTCGAAAAATCAACTACCTAGGTAGTTGTATCAGCGCAGTTGGAATTGAAGACGAGGTCACAAACTGTATAGCAAAAGCTCGAGGCACTTTTGCTAACCTTCGCCACCTATGGCGCCGGTAAGACATCACTCTCGCCCTAAAGGCTAGAGTACACAATGCAGCTGTATATTCGACCCTACTGAACGGTTGTGAAACCTGGCCCCTCGAAACACTTTGGCTCATATCTGGTGGGAACCCCATGTGAGCAATGACCATATCCGACGCGCTGTTTTTGGCGCAGGAAGGAAAAGCGAACCGGTTAGCACCATTATTTCATGCACCAGGATCCTATGGCTCGGTCATGTATTGCGCATGCCAGCACAATGACTTCCCCGACGTGTACTGTTTGCGCGCCGGGGGTGTGAATGGAAGAAGACAAGAGGTGGCCGGACGATGACTTGGTCGAGATGAATGAAAGTCCTCACTTCGAAGCTGGCCTCGGTTGGAGAATCTCGGCACCCTGGTTGGGGTCCGAAAGACGATGAACACGTTTGGTTGGATACACTTTTGACATGGCTAGGAGCAGACCCCAATGGCGTCTTTGTTGTGAGTTCCTTTGTCCACCTCCCTCCGCTTAGCCTCTCACTCTAACCACGATTACATTTAATAGGCATTATATGACTTTTGTGGCACAATATTCGACTGAGCTCACCGGAACGATCTCCACCAGTTACTGGTTACTCAGCCGGCGTGCCTCTGTTTCACTCTTCTTTTCCTTTGTATTGCGGTACCATAGCTGAGGTGTTTTCCACCTGAAGCTAGCGTGCATAATAATAATAGTAGCTAAAACCGGTGGCGCACCGACACAGTTTTGCAATAATAGTTTGTACTTTGAAAGTGCAAAGCATATGCCGAAACGTGCCGCGCAAAGGATCAGGTTACCTAGTAGGGTTTGCATAACAGCTGCATCTGACCCAAGGAGAGCTATGTGCAGTATTCCTAGCTTACATGCGATTGCTGATGGTTGCGTGACAGCGACGTACCGGCTTACTGCTCACGTCTTTGTTCTTGTATGTCAGTGAACCACTAACACAAAGAAGTGCTCTGATGAAGTCAAAATCGCCGCACGCATACGAGCCAGTGTGGTCATTTCACAAAGCGTATAAGGGAAAGGTAGACGTAGAACTACAAATGAACACACTCATACCGGGGACGTGGCGTTCAGTACTTTCGGAAAAAAAAGTGCAAACAGACATATCAGCACCAAATTCAAACGAACGCCCTTGTTAGTGCGGCAAAACGGAATACCATTTTCACAGCCTTAATACAGGACAAAGACATCACGCGTTGGATATCGACAAGTAGACAAGTGAAAAAGAAAATGTGTACAAAGTGTATGGGGGGGGAAGATGAACCTGATTATGGCACAAGAAGAAAAGCTTAGTTAGTGAGGGAGACAACAATGTGAAATAAAGACCAATACGAGGAGATACTACGTGTTCTTTGTACAAACTACTAATGCACTTTCTGTTTTGGAAACAAAACGTGCTCCAATAATTGTTGAAAACGAGAATAATTTTCTAAGAATAAAAATAAGAACGCCAAGTAGATGCCTATGATAATGGCAACAAACAGCTCGAAAAAGGATGATTTCAACCTATACACAGTGAGAAAAGTGGGTTCCATACCAGAATACAAGATGACATGGAAATCGGAAGAAGCAAAAGTGCCACTGAGAGGTGCGGAACGAACAGGTGTTTGGGTACTATTCTCCATGTTCTCTTTCGTTTCCGCGGTTTGCGTCTTTTTATCACCAAATTTAATCGTGTGCGTGTCCGTCGAAAGTGGATAACGAGAAATACGAACATCCTGAAGGGATTCTGAGAGGATATACTCTAGACTACGAATTAATCTTGGAAGTGTGGATAAGTCACGTCGTTCGGTAGCAGCAACTCGTTGCTTGGCTTTCGGTTGGGTTTTAGTATGTTCATTTAACAACTGAGTGCTACGAGGGTGATTTGTTAACAGGTTAAGCAGAGGGGTTACAGTGGTTTCAGTGACCCAGTCAGGAGAAATAATTGGTGTATCGGCGGTTAGATCTGATTGGCCTGTGTCATTGAACACCATGCGGACGAGAGCTTCCGCCAGTAGCAACACCTTCCGCGATATCAATTTCGGATCTACGTTTCCATGGAGAGCAGATCTGGTGAAGTCATCTCTCCCGTGGACTGCTGTACGGTATAAAGGGCCGCCATCTAAAGAGTTACGTCGATGAAGATGAGCAATATGCACCGAGGGCCAAGACGAGAGCGTCAAACCTGGCACACGATGTATGGAAAATCGCTCATGCTCCCAAGCTAATACTTCTTGCTTTAGATTGATCTTCTTATGAACCCAGTTTACTGACTCATTTATTTCGCTGCCAACGTTGGAAACGGAGTGTAAACGAATTGCCAGGTTAATATTTTGAAGAAATAAAGCAGAGAATGAACCATCTTTCGGAGGTCGCGACATGTGCATATACAAATCCGAGGGGTAAGTTCGCGATCCCAAACCTTCCAGGCAAATGACTTGTGAAACAGAATCGAAATCTGACGAGATGAAATCTTCTGTCCCATGCTCAAGCCAATGTTTGGACCCCAAGAAATTGTACTTTCCACCACCAGTGAGTACGAAGATAAATCCATACTGTGAACGCCCTGAATACAAAGCATAGAGCCGAGAAAATAAGCGGGCGAGCTCCAGTAGTACAACAACACCGCTTCCATTTGCATCCGCTCCGTGAGACAAACTTGGAATGGAGGACATAGAGTCGTAATGGGCACATATGACAATGAAAGGCAATCTGCGGCTACTGTCGCCAATTCTGCCTTCAATGTTGAAAATTGAAGCATCGCTTATAGGTTTTGGAGGACTAGAGCGAACAACAAATCGAAACCCGGTAGACCACATGATGGTGTTGAGTAGTGCAGTAAGACTCTTCAAGTCCGTATCATCGACGTCTTTCAAATCCCGATAAATGCTAGTTAAATTTCTGTTTTCTGTCGCAAAATACACTGGTATAGAGATCTCATGAGTCAGCAAATCATGTTCAAGCGCAGCAAAATTGCTTTGAAGTTCAGCAGACCAACTGGATGAAGGAAGAAGTATAACAACTCCGGCGATCTTGTGGAATGCAGCGTTCTGAATTGTGTCTATCCCAGCCTCTGATAACCGTAGCAACAAGCATCTGCGCGACACCAGTCGAGAGGTAAGAGCCTGCGCATCACAATCCATGGCGTTGTTCCTGCTTCCGTAGCGTACACCTTGAATATCGTAATTTTGCGCGTGATGTATAGTGAAAGTGTGCACAGACACAACTGATCGAGGAAAGCATAAAAACGTTAGGCAAAAGGACAAGATGGCAGAGATGATCATCTTGAGGAATGATGAACAATAGGAAGTACACTGTGCTTCCGGTCGAGGAATTCAAATGTTCCGTGTTCAATGCGCTAGGTCGTAAGAGACCAGGAAGCTGTAATGCAAAACAAATATCTATAGGTGATTGAAATTAATTCCCACAACCACTTAGAAAAAGAGCAACTGGATGTAAGAAGCGCTTTGTTAGCACCTCATAAGGAGCTGGGTACCGTTGTCCCAGCTGTCATGATGCGAGCAAGCTTGGGCTAAAAGTACAAGGAGAACAAACACAGAAGTTGACTAGTCTAACCGCAATGTAAACGAAAACAGAAGGCAATTGGGCGAAGGGACAACAATCGCTATTTAAGCTTCAACAGCCCTACCTTCTGGCTTGGTACGAGAACATACTAATGTGGTATGCGTCCGACTGAGGACTACGAAGCTTTCCCGTCCAACACCTATGTAGGTCATGATATAGCTGTGGTTGTATCGGTAGGACTGCTAGAGAGCCGTCCGAGAACCATCCAGTGACCGTCCGATATTACCACGCGTCTGACGAATTTCGGAGGGCTATCGGGCATTCGGGATGGATTTACGCCGCATCCATACTTTCACCCTAGATTAAGACGCCAATTAACTCGTCACGAATGGCTGCTGTTTCCCCAATTTTCTCAGAATCATTAGGCCACTCAGGAGCGTAATTTAAATGCCTCATCGGCATCACCGTCCGACAGCCGTCTGATGACCGGCTGGTATGTCACCGGACTAGACATAGCTTTGTGATGAGTGGCTAGCCGAACAACCTCCTCGTGATGGCAGCTGGGTGATTCGGGATTATCCCATCCCAGCAAATCGTCCCGTGGCAGTGTTCCAGGACGTGGTGCGTTTTCGCCTGGCAAGCGATCTCCCTATAAAAAACCACATACGTCCGTTTAACAACACTGTGACGGGATGGATGTGACTCGCCACCAAATAAAGTCACTGCCCCATACTTCAAACTAGCGAAGCATTGTATACCAGCAACTAATTGCTGTAATTCCTGGGAGCATCGGGTCCCCGTTTGGCAAACGAACAAATGAAAGGTGTATGAACTGGACAACCAGTCACTGGCTGCCAATGGGCGCGACTCACTGAATTCGCTCCGCTGCCTTGCGGGCAGGCCTAAGGCTCGGGGTGGTGTCCCCGAAGTAAAAACCACTCTACTTCGGCTTGGGTAACGATAGTAACTCGCCATCTGACAAAACCATGGACTCTTGCGTGCTGGGTTTTTTACCATATTTGTACCTTACTCTGGTTTCCGTGATTTTTGATGGCTCCCCGCCTATTCGAAGGTTGTTGCAAATATATATATATATATATATATATATATATGGCCTGAGGGAAATCAGATGGTCAAATCAAGCACTCAGATAACGGACCCATGTTTCTTTACTGCTGTATTTTTAATTTTTTCGTATGCTATGCATTGGCATATTCACCACATTTCGATTCCATCCCAAGTCAACTACTGGCACTTACACTCCAACGTGGCTATCCGAGCCTGGTCGGATACTCATGAGACGTGCTTCACGTCAACCGAAATGCGAACCATTAGTTGAAGGAGTCGAACTACTAGATTGTCACCCGGATTATGCCTTTGTCCGACTTTTCGATGGTCGAGAGGAGACTGTTTCTACTCGTAAATTGGCCCCTGCTGCTCACAGGATTTCTCATTACAGCGATGTTCCTCTAACGCCCCATATGCTAAATGCATCGGATATAATTATCCCTAATAAAACCATGCCATGCATCTCCCTAATGACACGACTGCCAGACCATAGACTACTCTGGTACACCAGCAACAATGAACCTGGCCGTACAATCTGATGAATCGTGAAGCTTGATGTTCCATTTTCTCGTTGCCTGCGTTCACCCTCCGCCTGTTACTCTTATCCAATTTTCCATATTAACACTGACCGCTCTACGTCACACACATATTTTTACAAACGTTATCAACTACTCAGCAACGGTTTCACAGTGTGGGAGAAGGTTATGTACTTTTAATTTTGTCGTATGCTATGCATCAGCATATTCACCGTTCGTATTCGCTTCTGTTATTTGCAGTTCATACGTCCGAATTAGTAATCGAGTAAGGCCTCCATATCGAGCTTTGCCTCCTTCCTACATACCGGAAATAAGCAGTGATCATCCCACTTGCGTCTCCCGATATTTATTCTCCATTATTTTAAGCATTGCATAGACCGCGCTTACACCATTTGAAAATAGTCTCTTATTCTACGGAAGTCCGAGGCCACGTGAATTTTATGTGCAAAACTTTGTCAAGTATACAGAAACGGTCTGTGATGTAGCATGTTTCTGGCTTTTATACTGTTCAGGATGGGCCCACAATATGTTCATCGTACAACTGTCGTAACGGTCGACGATAATGGCATATGAAGCACCACTTGGCCATAAAACAACATGGCAATGATGAAACGTGCATAGAATTCCAGTCATGAGACTCTCCCGGGTTACATTGAAAGTGTTGCGTTAGAGACTTAAGGAGTCCAGAGAAGTAGCAAGTGGTGCGCTAATGGTGTTGTGATGAAGTGAAGTTCATCAAACGCTGGTGAAACACAATTGGCTCCCTTAGTGAGCCATCATCATCAACATTATCCACGTTAGCGAGAGGTGGGGAACACCTCAGCTACTGTGCCGCAATACATAGAAAAAAGGGGGGGAAAGCAACTGGTGCAAGCCGGCTGAGCTACCGGTGAAATGAAAAATGAAATGTGTCAGCTTATACGCCGTAACGGCGCTTCGCTGCCGCGCGACCACCGGTAACGGATGGGCATCGTTCCGGTAAGCTATCTGCCGGCCACTATGCATCAAAAAAGTACTATGCAAAATTATATAAGGCTAAATAATGAAATCGTGGTTGGAGGAGGAGGCTAAGAGGGGTGGGGTGGGACAAAGAAACTCACAGCCCATAGTGAGCCAAAGTGAATTTATTTGTAATGTCATTTTTGACTGTATTTCTCCAGTCCTTCTTTGCACGTGATTGAAAACACGCCCAAATGAGACGGCTGGGCGTCCACGTGTACCTGCGGAATAACTGGACTGTCCGAATTTCGGAATGCCATCGGATGGTCGGTGCTTATTGATTATTGTACAACATAATAGCATTGCAGCTCTATTATGTTTTTGTATCCGACATTTTTTAGATAAACAACACCCTGTATTATCATACCAAGAATATACACTTCTTTCTCATTCTGTTTCTGTAAATCCTTCGTCTTTATCATTCACCTTAGTGAGCCAAAGTAAATGATAAAGACGAAGTATTTTCGGAAACAGAATGAGAAAGAAGTGTATATTCTTGCTATGATAATACAGGGTGTTGTTTATCTAAAAATGACAATGTCGGATACAAAAACATAATAGAGCTGCAATGCTATTATGTCCTTCAATAATCAATAAGCACGGACCAACCGATGGCAATCCGAAATTCGGACAGTCCAGTTATTCCGCAGGTACACGTGGATGCCCAGCCGTCTCATTTGGGCGTTTTCAATCCCATGCAAAAAAGAACTAGAGAAATGCAGTCAAAAATGACATTATAAATTATAATGCATCATGAACACTAATTGGCTTTACTCTTAAGGTGTTTCTTAGTTAAATCGCACACCGAGTTTGTGTGAGCGACTGATAGGCTGCCAATGAGTGGCCATTACAGTGAGACACATTTCGGTCACTCTAAATTTTGTGTAACGTTGCGTCTCCAGTACTGTGTCACGATGATTTGGGAATTCATCTCCACTGAGCGTGGACAGGCACTATACTCCCATACTTCACGCAGGGTGAGAGCCAATAGCAAACATTCTGCATTCTTCGCTGTCACCAGTGGTGTGCAACAAGGATGCCCTACATGTCCGTTTATCTTCCAATTTAAAATTGAAGTAATCTTCCCGAGAGATTTAGAAGGGCTAAAGAGTTTTGGCTTTGAGCTCTTTTCAGGTGGTGGCGCAACAGACTTAGATCACACTGATGATATAGCCTAGCTCGGTGTCAAACCTTATTTCGTGCAAATGGCCTCTGACCGTTTGGTGGTTGAAGCGTCTAGCTATGGTATGTCTTGCCCCCCCCCCTAAATTCAAAATGCCGTTACAGGATTGGCAATCTCACCTTCCGTCCGTCGCAACGAGACTGGACCTTAACGTGGTGCGACGGTTTGCGTACCTCATTGACCCACTGAGCTATACTGGGTGCTGCCTCCGAGCATCTTGAGAGCTACTCCTACCAGGTTGGTCAATGGTGAGAGGTCAGACAAACTCAGTCTCCTGGTAATCCAGGTTGGGGGTTTGAAATGGGATAGCGTCCATTTCTGTAAAACTAAATCACTGCCACCCCGTTGCCTTGCGGACAGGCTTTTGAGCCAAAGGCTTTGGATGAGGACCCTAATCGTCCTCCTGTCTAGGTCTGGGCGCCCTGGCAGTATCTTAGCCCACATACAACCATGACATTTTCTTCAAACATAAACTTCATCCTGCATCGGCCGTCGCGCAGATTATCAAGGATCGCCTTATCTGCTGCATACAGCAGGGCGGATAAGCGAAAACATGCTACTGCTGGCGCCTCCCTTCTTTCTTTTCCAACTTTTTCTCTTACTCCCATCCCGGCCCCCCCATTACTAACCTTCCTTCTATAATTCCCAGCTTAATTGACAGCAACCGAAGTGCTACTGGAGTAGTACCGTCTGCAGCCACCATCCCACAGCACCTACCGGACGCCTATCGGCAAAAGTTCCTTATAAGGCCACGCTGTCCCATTTCCATGGCGACATTCAACGTCCGCACTCTAGGACAAACAGGTCAGCAGGCTGCACTCGCACGCACCTTGGACACACTGGGTGTTGATGTGTGTTGTGTGTCCGAAACTAGGATTAATGACCCTAACGGGGTTATTGAATTGACTGCACCCGGCTTATCCTCTCGTTATTGGTTGCACGCATCCGGAGACGCCGATGCAACACTCACGGGTCAAGCTGGTGTAGGTATCATTCTAAACTCCAAGGCTGAGTCATCGTTGATTGATTGGATTCCGGTGAACAGCCGTTTATGTGCAGCCCGTTTGACGACATCAGCTAAGGTGAATTCG